CGGGTATCAGTTGTTCCAGAAATATTTGTTAAGGAGACTGCTCCTCCACACTATATTGACCTGGGACCTTTGTAAAAAATCAGTTAACCATATATGTGTTGTTGTATTTCTGATATTTCTAATTTGTTTAATTAATTTGTCCACTTTTGCTAGCACCATACTGTCTTGACTATTCTAATTTAATAGTAAGTCCTGAAGTAAAATAGTTTAATCCCTCCGACTTTATTCTTTTTAAAGATTATTTTGACTATTCTAGACCCTTTGCATTACCACTTCAATTTTATAATCAGCTTGTCTATTTCCTCAGAGAAACCTATTGGATTTTTGTAGGCATTAAATTAATCCATGGATTAACATTGAGTCCTCCTATCCATGAATATGGACTGTCTCCAATTCTTTAAGAATTTTAAAATTTCTCTCAGTAATGTTTTATAGTTTTCATTGTAGATATCCCGCATATTCTTTTGTATTTGCTTGATATTTTTGATGCTATTGCAAACAGTATATTTTAAATTTCATTCTCCAATTGTTCCTTAATAGTATGTAGAATAGAATAATTTTTTATATTGACATTGTATCTTTGATCTTTCTAAATTTATTTTGCAATTTTGGCAGCAAAGACCCTGTCTGTCCCAAGGAGCTTGAAGTTTGATAGGAGAAATAAAATACATGTAAGTAATTATTTTTAAGTCTACATAAGAAGTGCCATAAATGATTGAGTAAACTCTCTGGAGGCCCCTAGATGAGAGAGAGCATATTCCAGCATTGGTGAAAATCAGGGGAGGCTTTAAGAAAGAGACAGAGCTTGAATTTGTCCTTGAAGAATGAGTAATATTTTGACAGGCAGAGTGGAGGGGGAGGAAAAGTTGGAGGATGGAGCATCCATCATAGAAATAGGTAAAAGTACAGTTTGACAAAGGTGTAAGTTATACCAAGCAAGTAGTAAGAATTAAAGCTGAAAGAAGAAGTTTAGGGTCAAACCATGGAGCATTTCAAATACTGTAATTCCAACTTGCTATGTGTCCAACAGCATATTAATCACCTTAACAAATTCTTTAATATTCGTGACAATTTTGTTTTTTTTCCTGAGATGATCTTCAAAAAAAAGTTTTTTTAATTTGCCATTACAGTTGACGTGTAATATTATATTAGTTTCAGGTGTACAGCATAGTGATTATACATTTATATAACTTACAAAGTGATCATCCTGATAAGTCTAGTACCCATCTGATACCATATTAGTTATTAGAATATTATAATATTAGTGACTAATATTCTCTATGCTGTACTTTACCTCCCTGTGACTGTCACACAATTTAACAAAACAAATATCTCCATATCACAAATGAGGAAGTTGAGGCTAACAGAACAAAGTAAATTGCACAAGGTTAGTGGATGTTTCAATAATTTCAGAACCAGGATCTCAGCCTAATACTTTTTGTTCTCCCTTTTGCAATACTGTTTTACTACCTTGCTCAGATTATTGTATGGATATTTTCCCATGTCACTGGAGATACTTCTTATACAAAATTTTTTTGGTGTGGGCTACATAAAGCTGTATCAAAGTTTACAGTTTTTTCATAATATTATGTATTGTAACATTATTTTTAATATTATAAATAATGCTATGGTAAGTATATTTGTGAATCAATTTATCTTCCTACCAAAGACTTGATTTAAGATAGTTTTTTTTTTTCTTTTTCTAGCATAAGCACCTCTAAATTTTTTATGCTAATAAAGGAAAAGGGAGTGATGGCTGAAATAGACACAAAAACTGTATCATTCAATACTAAGTTATGTTTTCATCAGGTTCATGTTAAAAGTCATTACGATTTCTCAAGGGTATGAGGAACAATTATAATTCTGGCAAACTGTTGTACTGAAATACCCTCTGGGTCCATTATGTTACCTGGCTGTGCTGGATAAGAGGGCCCCAGGATTTCCAGGCTCAGAGTAGCAGGACACCCAGAGAAATGGGAGTGAACCAGAGAACTTTTCCACGCATATATTTGAATTCCTGACCCTGTCCTGAATATGAACAATTCCTTGCCTATGAAATCTAGTAACACAAGTCAGGTTGAATGAACAAGAAGATCATTTTCTGTGACTTCTTGCTATTGATACCTTATTTATATAAGATGGCTAAAGGAGGTCTGTTTCTTCTTGCTCTCTTGAGTTGAAGAATCAACATGAAGTTTAAAAACTGGGATGGTATCTTGTGCCTCTTTTCATAGAGGAAGGTTTATAGCTCTAATCCCCAGCTCCCAAGCATTGTACTTTCCTCTTATTCACTAAAATATCTATTATCTTAGTCAATATATAAACTCGATTGTATACAAATATTGATCTCATACTTATTTATTAGGTGAGGCAACCCTTGGTTGACCTCGCAGATTGCAAGGACTTTGTCAGTTTACAATCCCTTATTTTTTATTTTTTTATGGCACCTGGTCTTCCTAGGTGGTCTCCCATCCAAGTACTAACCAGGCCCAACCCTGCTTAGCTTCTGAGATCAGACAGGATTAGGCTTGTTCAGGGTGGCATGGCTGTAGACTTTGAATACAGTATTATTAACTATAGTCACTTATTTATTAGGTGAGGCAACCCTTGGTTGACCTCGCAGATTGCAAGGACTTTGTCAGTTTACAATCCCTTATTTTTTATTTTTTTATGGCACCTGGTCTTCCTAGGTGGTCTCCCATCCAAGTACTAACCAGGCCTGACCCTGCTTAGCTTCCAAGATCAGACAGATCCCATACTTATTTATAAACTCTAACTTGTTACTGACCTAATACTTCTTGATCAAAGCTCATGCTTTTCCCATAAAATCTCTCCTAACATGCAGCCATATTTTGTGGGCAGTAGCAAGCTACTGAGAATTTTAATGTAATAGGTGACACACTTATAGCTATGTGATATGCCCTGAATGCACTTCAGGGAATAAGTCCAAGCTATGGAACCAGTCACCTTTCTATTGTAGTTATCAACAATGAGATGGGCTCTGACCATTTCTCCCGAAACTCTCTCCCTAACCCAAACCGTCCCTAGACAACCAAAGGTTGCCCCACAGGGTAGTATCTCGTCTTTAGAGAGGGATAAAATACTCCACTTCGACTTTTTTGTCTTGGCAGGCCTCCCCTTTCTCTGACAGAAAATGAATGATCTAGCACCTGACCTAAGTAATAATGCCAGTACTAAGTAATATCAGCAGTAATATCTGTCGGAGTTTAAATGGTGAAGAGGGCAGTTTCCAGGGAATCTTGATTTTTTCAGATTGTTCCTTGATGAAGTCCAGGGTCTGGAAGAAACGAGGTCAAATATATGTAGGCTGTTAAAGAGAAAGAAAGCTGGTCTCAATGGTAAAGCCACTTTCAGCCACGATTAAAGGTACACCCCAAAAGAAACCCTGAATCTTCTCCCTTGAAGAGTAATGCTGAGGTTGGTGGAGGAATTAGGCAAATCAGACATTGCAGAGAGAGCCTGAAAAGGAGTAGCATGTGTGTGGACTTCTCTCCCACATGCCAAGCATTTCTGAAAACATCTAGTCTCATCCAAAACTTCTGCGCTAGACAGGGATCCAGGACTGGAATGGAGGTGCCTGGTGACTAGTCAGAGCGTTGGCAGGACCCTGAGACCAGTAGCCAGCAAGGAGCTCCTTAGTCCTCCTCCCAGGGAATCCCAGGTGCCTCTCTTCCTGAGAAGGCAATCATTGGCACAAAAGTCCTTATTTTCTCCTCTTCCCAGAGGAAGGATTCTGGGATAGCATTTGGGGAGGCATGTGTGCAGAAGGATGCTAAGAGAATGCATAGCCTGCTTGGTTCTCAGCTTATTCTCATGGTAAGGCTCCCACAGGCCCAGAAAAGACGGGGGGCATGAGGTACAGGTCATTGAGGTCAGAGCATCTCAAGGACCCACGGTTCTGAGCAGGGATGAAGAGTCTGGGCTCTAGCATCACATTTCTGTGTTCAGTTCCTAGCTCCACCACTTACTAGCTGCTGTTAATCTCTCCATATCTCACTTTCCTCATCTTTAAAAGGGAATAATGGACTACCCACTTCATAGGGTCACATAGGATGAAATAAAATGATTCTTATGAATTGGCCTGCAGTAACAAGTCCATACCTGTTAGCTATTTTTGCTCCACATAGCCCTTTCTCCTGCTTCTGGGTGAAAGCACGTCTGTTCTTTCGGCCTTTTTCTCCATGGAGGTTTCAGAATTACAAACTGACAATCTAAAGAATCTCCAGAACATCCCGCACACGTTCTGGAGGCCTGAGCATAAGGGTGGGATCTCCCACTGGTGCCTGGCGGTGAACGACCCTGCCACCAGGCGTGCCTAGTGGCTGAACATCCGGTGCGCGTGCAGGTCCACACATATGTGGATGGACGTGCACCGCCCGCCCTGAGATCCGGAGAGTTCAGCGGTCTCTGGTTAGCGTCGCGCAGCTGGTGGGCGGGGCAGAGCCATTGTTCCGCAGCCAACCGAGCCCCTCGCGCTCTCTAGAGAGGCCCCTTATAATCCCAACCCTGGGTTTAAAGCCACGTCCCCACTCCCAAGGGTCTCTGGGAACTGGAAGGCAGGATAGAGTTGTGCATACTGGTCACCCCCGTGGCGTCTCTACTTTTTTCTGTGAAACTTCCCCAGTGCCCGTCTATTCGCGAAGTGCCTGGGGGCCAGTCCTGGGCTGGTACCCACTTCCCATTCCCGGACAGGGGTCTCTCCATATTCCAGAGAGGAAGCTCCCAACTGCCTCCGAGGCAGCAGGGTGCCGGGCAGAGGCCCAGTGGCCGGTGGAAGAGAAGCCGAGGAGAAAGGGATGGGAGGGGGAGCGAGTAGCTCGCGGCAGAGGGAACAGCAGATTGCGCCGAGCCAATGAGAACCGCAGAACGAGGTGGCACCAAATTCCCTTCGGCCAATGACGCGCCAGAGTCTACAGAAGCCTATTAGCATTTCCCCAGGGGCAGGAGCTGCGGCGGCTTAGCCGCGGTATGTCTGCAGCCCCCAGTACGCCTAGGCTCTGTCTCCTCCCCTCTCCGCCCATGCGGGGCTCGCAGGGCGAGCCAACTCTTCGTACTTTGCCCCGGTTGGCAGCGAATAAAAGGGGTCTGAGGAAATACGGGCTACGGTCTCCCGCTGCCAGCTCTAGCCTTTAAATCCCCAGCGTGGAGAGATCTACGCACAGCGGGTCGGATCCGAACACCGATCCAGCGCACACAGCGCCAGAAGGGTTCCGAGCGCAGCGCCGCCCATCGTCGCGCAAAAGCGGGCTCGGCTACCGAAGTCTCCCAGCTGTTGGGGCTGTCCCGAACTCCACTCCACAGTCAGCCCAGAGAAAGTGACCCCAGCATCAGAAAGTCCAGATGCCGGCCCACTTGCTGCAAGAGGAGGTGAGCTTCCCAGCATTGGCCCCAGACCGCGAGTTCGCCGGCACTAGCTGGGCTTCTAGGTGACTCGTTGGAGGAGTTGAGATCTCCGCGGAGGACATGGTCATCTTTTGCTACTTGTACTGCCTTCGTTTGTTGGGAATGTGGATTGTGATTCGGGACTTGGTTCTCCAACTTTTGTTTCTTAAGCTTTAAAGAAAAATTGGGTCGTGCCGGTACCTTTACGTATGTATGCCTGCGGGTTTTCCTTTGTGTGTTCGTAGGGATGCGAGTGTTTTACTTCTTCCTGTTGCCCCTTCTTGAGGTTTCACGGCCCTCCCCAATCTATCTATCTGCACAGTTCCTGGGGACTTACTTTTCTTCCATCAGGGTAGACCCAGCCCTCAGTTAACCTGGGTATTGGAGCAGGGTCTATTCCAATACATCACACTTCCCCCAGCTTCATGAGAGAGTTAGTGGCCCCTGCTGCCTCCACGTGTAGTCTCTCTCCTGACTCTCCCTTCCTCTCCCAGATCTCTAGCTCCTACACAACCACCACCACCATCACAGCGCCTCCTTCCAGGATCCTGCAGAATGGAGAAGGCAAGTTGGAGAAGACTCTCCTACACTTGGAAGAAGACATCCGCCCTGAACTTAAAGATGACATTTATGACCCAAGCTACAAGGATAAGGAGGGCCCAAGGCCCAAGCTTGAATATGTTTGGAGGAACATCATCCTTATGTTTCTGGTACACTTGGGAGGCCTGTATGGGATCCTATTGATCCCCACCTGCCGGGTCTACACCTGGCTCTGGGGTAAGAGTTTTTCATATCCTCCTGACTCAGTACTGCAGGTTCTCTCCACTCTTTAATAAAGTAGGAGCTTGTATGGAACAGAGACGCCAGCCCTTTCAGGCCCAGCCATTTCTCTTTGATGGCTTGAGAGGCCAAGTGGGCTGGGAACAGAGGCTAGGGAAACTGGGAGGCAAGAGTGTCAGTGCTGGGGGTCCTTTCATATGGGTGTTGGGGAGGGAGCCCTGAGACCATGTGCTTTGGACATTGAAGTGAGTAGACCTGTGTCAGGGTTAGCTTTCCCTGAAAGAGTTTTCTGGCTGCTTGTCCCAACCCTGCAAGCCACAAAAGAATCAAGGCCCCTACCTGGGAGGCATGGGAACATGGGACAAGACCAGCGGTTCCAAGGGGTGGAGTATATGCTGAGCACAGTCATGGGAGAGCAAGAGAAATTGCTCAGGAAGAGAGTTAATAGAAGAGAGAGAAACAGAGAGATGGTTATCCACAAGATTATTTTGCCCTGCCTCTTGGCCCAACCAGGCTCATTTGTTAGAGAAAAAGATGAAGAAGGCTCCTGTATGACCCAAGTTAAACAGTTGCAGTGCTCTGTAACTCCATGTAGGTCTCCTGGGAACTGTATGCACCACTCAGCGAAATGTCTTTAGAATTAAATAAGGTTGAAGTACTGTTTTATGTCCCATTCCCCATCTATCCTGCTCCAGCACCTCCCTTCTGATGCCACGCAGTCTCTCTTTCCCAGGACAGCCAGACGAAGCCAGAAAAGAGAGCCCTAAGCAATCCTAGCCTTGAGGCTGCTGCAATGAGTTCCCAATTCTGTCCCTGACCTGCCTGCCGTTAGGTCAGCCTTTTCAGTGATCCATGGGTATGGGCTGATAAGAGGGCCCTGCCCCCTGGATACACACATGCGCTTTGCAGGCATTTTCACCTCTGCCACCATAAGCCTGAGTTGGGGAGAGGAGAGCAGAGAAATCTAAAAACCCAGGGGCCCTGCATTACCACTCTCTGAGAATGGTGAGCTAGAACTCTCTCTCAAGGAAACTTTAGGGTTTTTAGAGCAATCTCAGGTGCCGCTGCACTCTTGGAGAGGAGGTATGTTGAAGGGCTAGTAGACCAAGTTTTAGCTGATTCTCCTAGGACCTCTTAGGTTTGAAGATGGTGAGATCTGCTCCCTAGAGCTTTGTCTTGGGAAATCCTCTCAGTGCCACAGACAGAGAGGTGATACCCTCTCTCAAGATCTCAGTCTTTCCAGGTACAAACTGGGGACACCAGTACTTTTTTAGGATTAGGAAGGTAGTGCTCCTAGCTTTTTTTGTGTATCATTGCTGGAGCTGGCTAGGCACAGGAAATCAGTTCATCTGCAGACCAGAAGAGTTCTTCTGTTTGTGAGAGGAGGGGGACATCTGTTCTTTAGCCCCTCTGAAAACCCAGCCCAACTTCAGTTACAGCATGAGGAATCAAGAGCCAGGATAAGGATTCCCCAGGGAGACTGTGCACTCCTCTCTCCACTCCTCCTCCCCAAGAGAGGAGTTTTCACAAGTAGATTTGTTGCCTGCAAGCCCCTTCCAGCCTCAGCACTCCCTATAGGCTTGGTTAAGTCCAGAGTTTGGCCAGACTGCTTCTGCTTGCACCCCACCCTTCGCTGCTGGTGTAGGTGGCAGAATGCTATCCCTAAACCAAGGCCATGCCTGCCACCTTTTTGTGCCCTGCCCATGGGTGTGTGTTGTACCTTTGGACAGAGCGGGGAGGGTCAGAGTTCCCACATTCAGAGTTTTAGGAGCTTGGCCTCACCTTTCCTTTTATCCCTAAGGACAGTGTTAAATTAAGGACTGGTTATGTTTACAGCATTTCTCAGACTCAGGGCAGTTTGGAAAGCATCTGAGATGGGCCCTGAGGACGCTGAGGGCCGAGGGCCAAGGGGCAAAACTTATCTCTTTCTTAGGGCCAAAGCTATGAGATTTTGCTTAACCATCTATTTGGACTTTAGTAGAGCATGAGTCGCCAACTGACTGACATAAGGCCTTCTATTTGACAAGCTCAGAGGTGTTGACAGAAAAGGCACCAGAGTGCCTGGGTTCTTTTCTCAGTTCCCCTGTTAATACCAAGATCTTACTTGCTTTCCGAGTCAACGTGCCAGGGTCATCTGTGGCATGAAACAATCCCAGTAGCTTCCTTGGTTCTGAGCCGAGTGCTTCTGCTTTCATGTCCAAAGCCATTTTTTTTTTTTTCCTTCTTAGTGATTCATATTGGCTGTGGCTCAACTTTGTCATTTTTGTACGTACAGATGTAGGCAGATACTGTCTTTGGGAAGATAATTGCCACATAGTTTGAGGCCAGCAAATTACCTGAAGCCCTAATCTTAGCGCAGAGGAATTACGAAATAGAACTTTCACTGAGATTGACTCCAGCTCCCTGGTTTTCCTCCAGATCGTGAAGGAGGAATAGGATAGGGAGGAGGAAAATAGAGTAGGGGAGGGGATGAGGGCTGTTTAGGAAACTGCTAACTATGGTTGGAGAACACAGGACAATTTGTTACAATGTGTGGTGTCTCCAACTGCAGCTAGGTTCTATGGCTACTGAGGATCCATTGTCTCTAGCTGTTTCCCTAGGAATGAAACATTGTCAACAGTCACTGCTCTACCAAGGCCTCAGCCCCTGCCTACTAGAGCAGAGGAAGATGGGTATACCCAGCAAACTGCTTCCCAGTTAGAGATTATAGCTGGCACCTTGTGAGTTGGCAGGCCTCCAGGAAGGTGAAGGAGGACAGTATTGGGGTGCTCCACTGACAGCTTTGAGCATATCCCACCATTGTCTAGAATTAGCCTTGCCAAAGAGAGTATAGGCTGAAAGGAGGGACACAGGAACTGTGTATATATCTTGGGGAGGTGGATAGTATAGTTAGAATATGAACTGCTTGTTGACAGCAAACCTAGTTTCAGACTGTGGCTCTATTTCTTACTGGCCTTGTAACTATAGATAAACACAACCTCTCTGAGCATCTTTTTCTTCTACTGCAAAGTGAAGATATGCAAGCCCATTTAAGGTATCTATTGAAACAGAGAATGTAAAGTTCTTAGCTAAGCTTAAGACACTGTGCAGATATGACTTATGTACAGGGTGGATTGTCCCCTAATGTGGCCGCACTACCTGCTAAAATATTGAAATACTTTGTACCAGTTGGTAAATAGCCATAGATCTGAGCTCCCCAAGTGTCCCCTAGAACCCAGAGCCCCTCGAATTGGTGAGTGCCCAGACCGTACTGACTATTAAGTATTTTAAGACCACCCTTGGTCTTAAGCTCTGAGAGAGTAGTCTGTGGTCCTTAACAACTTAGAGAAAGACCCAAAGGAAATGGGACCCAGGATAATGTCCCTCATGACAGAGAATGACAACTGGCTGTCCTACCTTTCTGAAGTTCCTGGGATTCCTTAGCTTATTCCAATTCCTAGTCCAAGGGGATGAGAGTGATGATATTTTTCGATTAGTAAAATCAGAGAGACCTAAGAGACCAAGGTGTCCCTGAAGTTCAGGGAAAAGCAGAGCCTCACCCGAAGTCTCAGAAGACACAGACTCGGCCATACAGAGAACATCATGTTTGCCCAGATTGGTCACCCGCCTACTGTTTCCTCCTGGCAGGGGTTTTCTGCTATGGGTTCAGTGCCCTGGGCATAACCGCAGGAGCCCATCGCCTGTGGAGTCATCGAAGTTACAAAGCTCGGCTGCCCCTACGGCTCTTCCTGATCATTGGCAACACGATGGCATTCCAGGTAAGAATTTGGCTCTGCTCAGCTCTCTTCTCCACTCTGTCGGTGATCCAGGAGCAGAATGGAGGAGATCAGCACCTGAAGAGAAGCAAACACATGGACAAAGCATTTTGCTCTCCTCTCTCCTCAAGGTCACCTCAGGTTCAGGCCCAGTCCTTAAACTCATAAAGCACGAGCATACTTCTGAGTCACTGAGAAAGGAAAATAGAAGATAAATAGGAAATACTCTCTGTTAACAGGATTTACATATTACCGTAAGGTCCCTCTGTTATCACACAGTCTGGCTGTTAGGGTTCTCTCTTCTCAGGGGCCATAGTGTCAGGAACTGACACTGGTTTCCTGGGCAGACATTGGGCAATAGAGTCACCATTTTAGGTGAATATTTTAGGATTCCACCATGATGAGATTGAAGTGGATGTTTCACAGACTCATGAACTCTGTTGTTTTCGGGTCATGAGCAAATACTTTTATAGCACTGGCTTATGTGCCTGGCACTATTCTAGGCACTTGACATAGATTTCCTCATTAAATCCACATAACAGTCTTAGGAGGTAGCTACTATTATTATCCCCATTTTATAGATGAGTAAATTGTGTCACTGAGAGGTTAGGGAGACCAACATTATGGTCTTATCTTGGGCCGCCAGGCTGGCTAAGTCAAGTTTTGAGGTTTGTTGAGGCAGAAAGTTTATGGCAGAGATAGAATGAAGGAAATTGGGGAAAGCAAACTCCTCGCTATTAAAAGGTAGCAGTGGGCCAAGGATAGCTTGTAGCAAGGGGGGAAAAAGCAACCAAATTTGTCCCCTTCTTCGTGGCAATATCCCAGGTACTTAACAGATTGCATAATCATCTATGCCACAACACTTTGTACCTTGAGGGCTCCTGATGTTGGGGCCGTGAGAAGGAAGTTATTGGCACATTCTTTAAGGGATAGAAAGAGTCTCAGAGGTCATTTGGGAATGTGGCCATGCTCATGATTTATATGCCTAGACATGTTGAGTTGTACAAGCTGTGTCTTACCAAGGCATCAGAATGGAGCTTCTTGCAGCTTCATCCACTGACCAGAACCCTAGGACACAAGGCTGCCTGTTTCATGTTGTCCCTGCCCAGGGCTTACGCACCCCACAAAGACCTTTTACAACATTCGTTGCTTGAAGAATTGCAATATTCTCTCATAATGAAACTGTCTGATCTACCTCCATTCTGCCTATCGTATAACCTTCGTGAAGCAGCCAGTCCTATTCATGTGGTCCTGGGACTTTAAGTGGCTTTTCCACTTGGCATTCAGTGGCAAGTTGGGGGAAAAGAGGAGGCAACTCCATGACACTCCTTTAGAGTGCTGGCTCTTGGGTATTTTGTCAGGTTGGGCTGAGAGCCACAGGCTCTTGAAGCCTATCTATTAGGAGTTCCCTAAGGTATGTTTCTCCTCAGGCCTTCCTTCCTCTTCTCTGCCCCTCCAGAATGATGTTTATGAATGGTCCCGAGATCACCGTGTCCACCACAAGTTTTCAGAAACAGATGCTGATCCCCACAATGCCCGACGTGGCTTTTTCTTCTCTCATGTGGGTTGGCTGCTTGTGCGCAAACACCCAGACGTCAAAGAGAAGGGTGGTTTGCTAGATTTGTCTGACCTAAAAGCCGAGAAGCTGTTGATGTTCCAGAGGAGGTGAGTGAAGTAGTGATGGAGCTGGGCACCTGGTGTTTGGGGGACCCCCCCCCTTTTTTTCCTCTAGGACTTAACATAAGCTGAGAAAATGGTCTGTATGTTCAAAATCATAATTTAAAACCCTAATTTTTAACAGCCCAAGGTTCACAGCCATAGACTGTTGTCGTTTCTGAGCTATCTTAATTAAACCAGTTAAATTCAACAAATGTTTATTGACCTAGGAACTCATGGATACAAAAATGAGTGTGTCCTAGGCTTTGCCTTCGAGGAGTTTGTATCCTGTTGGGCTTTGAAAAGATAAGTCAGGTGTCTGAATAACTATGGTGCATGACAGAATATTTTCTGTACCAATAAAAGGCACAAAGGGGAAGAAGATTTCATAGTACTAGGGAACATCAGGGAAGGGTTTATGAAGAAAGTAGCTTTGGAATCCACTGATGGATAGGGATTTTCACAGGTGCAAGAGGGGAAGGGACAGTACAAACAAAACAGAATGAGCTAAAGCATAAAGCATGTTCTAGCAACAGAGTCCTTTTGCTTGAAGTATAGGGTGTGGTCAGATTAAGACTAGAGAGGGAGACTGATGCTATTCTTATAGAGTCTTAAAAGCAAACGGGATTTAATTCAAGGCAATTGGA